GGGGGGGGGGGGGGGGGGGGGGGTGGGGGGGGAGACGGGTCGCCAAGCTTTTCTTTTTTTTTTTCATGCTACGAGCACAAACCGACTTAGATGATGATTTACACCATAAATCATGGAAGGTAAATAGAGACAAAAATCAAGGAGAGTCCACACAGAAGAGATTATAGATCTATATATATATATATATTTATATATATATAACTTCTTTTATTCAATATTTAAACCCACTAAAAGTTGTCGATACAACTTTTGAATGAAAGGCACAGGAAATAATCAGACAATGCTGATAAAATACTCAGAAACAAAGTAACGGTACAGTACAAAAGTGAACAGTTAGGTACGCACGTACGAATCCCTCCAGAGCTCCTATAGACACCGGTGAACAGAACTGTATACAACACAACCGAGGGAACGCTGCTGCTTCAAAACAAGAAACCCCAAAAAACAAACAGAAAAACAAAAACAAAAACCAAACCAACAGAACACATAAGCCAAACCTCTTTTTTTATTGCTTTTCCAAACTGACAAAGGTCACATCAGTGTTCCGGGGCTTTTCTCAGAATGCCAAAAAAAAAAGCTTCCTTATTTCAGCCGTGTATTGAGTGACTCCTATTAACTCCATTATCACCTGTCGACGGACCAGGCTGCTCAACACCAGGGTTTTCAATCACAAACACAGAGAGAGAGAGAGAGAAATGATGTACAGACTACGGACGTGTCCACGGGAGGATTCGTCTTTTCCTTTTTCCTCCTCTGCAACTACTCTCTAACAATCCAGCAGTAAATGAGCTTATTATTGTGATTACGCTTTAAATTCCTTGGTCCGCTGAGTGTAAAATAAACCCGTCCTCTGAGTGGTGTTTAAATATTTAAGAGAAATCCGGGGCTGCAAATTTTTAAAGTGCAGGTCAGAAACCAGCTCTGGAGAAGAAAGAAACGAAAAAAGAAGAAGAAGAAGCAGAAACCAGCTCTGGAGAAGAAAGAAAAGAAAAAAGAAAAACCACTGAATTAAAACAATTATTCCCTTTTTATTAATTAACTGGAGGAGCTGATGGCACTGAAGTTTGACAAGATTTGTCCCCTAAGAAAAAAAAGAACATTGGAAGCCATGTTTCTGTTGTTGAAAAAGGCCCAAAAATATCACTTATACCTTAAGTTAAATTCATTAAAGAAAAAGAAAATAAACACGGACGGTGTGGTGGTTATTTATGCACCTTCAGAGAGGACAGAAGGCCCTGGGGGTTCAGCTGAGATCAAGTATTGCCAATCTTTTGTCTTTTGTTCATACTGAGTGGATCATCAGTATGCATGTCTGCAAGTTCACCCCAGATAAAGTACACACCGAGGTTCCTTTGGGCAGCTTTTATGGGGGAACGACTGAAGGGAAGTGTGCCGTCACTCTGTACTGCCGGGGGTTTTAAAAATAACATATAGCCTCTTTGGTATAGGCACATCTGCATCAAGGGAACGCCACGGTATAATTTACCCTTTTCCCTTTTCTATGTGCTGCTGTCACTCTCTGGTTCCTATTAACGGGGAAGAAAAAACAGAAGAAAAAAAAAAGTAAAGTTCCGGGGGGTTGGTGGTGTGATTGCCGTTAGCCGTAAAGGGTTTTTTCTTTCTCTACTGCATGAAAAGCCAAACCCCAGCTCCCCTGCATCTCCCTGCTCTACCTGCTGCCTGACAGCAGGAGGATTCATGCTACCTCCACCCTCCCTGCAGCCGTGCTACAGAGGAGGGGAAAAAAAAGCCATGGCACAGCAAAAATGTAAATGTAGCCATCTCCTTACACTCAGCCCTGAAAAAAGGAATAAGGAGTGAGACGGTAACAGAGGGAAATCCACGGGGGTGAGAGGAAACACAGCAGTTCTGATAGGTTGAGGAGTGGACACATAAATGGACCAGGTCAGGGCTGCGGTGGTTGGTGTTAGCCTGGGTCCACAGCCCTCTCTCACTCCACACTTTTTTCTTCTTCTTTGTTGTTTTTTTAGAGACCTGGCAGGGCCACCAACTGAGAGGAGAGGTTTCCTCTGTTCCCTGGTTCGAAGCAGACTCTCTCTCAGTCCCACAATGCTCTGTCACATCGGAGCCAAGTCAGGTTAAAGCTGGAGCCTCACCAGATTTGCTTTTGAAGAGGATTCTCTCGCTTCTCGATGTAAGGCCTTCACAGCCTTCCTGCTCCAGATCAAACCACGGAGCAAATGACATCATGTACAAGAACCAGGATCTTTAGAGTCCGGACAGTCTCTCGGTGCGTTTTCCTCAAACGCCGACTCCGTTCACTACCTGGCGGTGGCAGAGTAGGATGCAGCAGCTAACTGTGTGAGGTATTCGCGCAGTTCCTTGGCGGCCTGGAAGCGGCCGTAGCGCTTTTTGGGTTTGGTGCACTCGTCCAACAAAGCCTCCAGTTGTCCGTCTTTGGCTATGTGGGCGGGGGGGTCGTGGAGGAGGCCCCCCGTGGTTCCCCGCCACTTAGCGAACCGGGACAGCAGGTTCTGACAGATGGCATAGTAGTTGTGGTCCACGGTGACCCTTGAGCAGAGGGAGTCCTTGGAAAAGGAGAGGCAGGCCTCGCGGTCGCACTCCTCGAAACGGCTTTCGTACCAAACGTCGTAATTTTCAGGCTTGTCTGCAGAAAAATAGATAAAAAAAATAAACACTTTAAAAAAGAGTTCTCAAAAATTCTACATCAGGGGTGTCAAACATATGGCCCACGGGCCAAAAAAGGCTCACTGGGGATTCAATCTGACCCACTTCCTAAATAAAAAAAAGCACAAACATTTCAAATTTGTAATTTTCTGTCAAATTATATTTTTCAATAAATATATTTTCTAATAAACGTGTACCTATTTGCATAAAAACAAAGGTGAAAATACATGGACCACATTTATCACAGTCATTAATGCCACGTTTTATGGTATAAATATAATAATATAATATATAAATAAAAATAATCTAATAATGCAATTCAATTTCAATAGTTTTTGATATTGTATCTATAACCTGTAATTTTTTAAATAAATACCTGCGTCAAAAATGTGTTTGGATACACAAGACTTTACGACTTGTAGTAATTAGTTTTAAAATTAGTAATTCTAAGACAGAACCAGTTTGAAAAAAAAAACAAAAAACCATTTGGATGTAAATGTATTGCTATAAAATCGACCTTGACCAGAAACAGTCAGGTCCGCTCCAGCCTTATGGGATCTGAAGGAAACTGACTCTCGGAGCACACGCTTAGAAAACTCATCTGCCATTTCATTTGACAGAAATGAACCACTTCTCAGATTTATTGAGCAAATTAAACCCGTTCTCCTGCCTCATTTCAAGGTGTTTTTTTTTCTCACTCCTCAACTCTTCAGAGAACGGCGTTGAGGAAAGAGAGGGGCCGAGGAAATAACCTGGAATGATGAGAGAGCTATTGGTTTGTGCATTAAAAAGCAGATCGATGGGGTTGTAGGGAGGAGGGGGCGGACCCAGGGGGCGCTAACACGTAATCAGTGTATCAGCCATGTAAGGCACTTCTCCTCTGGCCCCTCACTACGACTCCATCAAACACCCAGACCTGCCCTGTTAGCCCACGGCCCCCCTGGACCTCCCCCTGAAGAGGAGGGGCGTATCAGCCTCAATCAGAGCAGGTGATGAAGATGGATCTGCCCCAGCACACACACACACTCACGCACTCACACTCAACCACCATCTGTGTGTGTGAGTGTGTGTGTGTGTGTAGTAAGGTGGGGTGAAAGCAATTAATGTTTCAGAGAGCTGGTCATGCATCACACCTCGGTGTTGATTGACAGGTGGCATCAGGAGACCGTCCCACTCTCCACACACACACACACACTAACCACACACACACACACACACTCAGAGCGGGAGAACCAGAGGAGAGGATTCAGACTCAAGGACGAAACTGAAAGTTAAAAGAAATCTAAGATTCATTGAGTCACTGCAGGGTCGGGTCAGTACAGGTCGGGTCAGTACAGGTCGGGTCAGTGCAGGTCGGGTCTCACCGCCAGGTGAAGCAAATGAGCAGTTTATAAAATGGATAAACACTGAAGTTCCTCCTGTTTCCATAGATTGATAATGTTGTGTCTCAATGACGTTATTACACTTTTTAAATTTTTTTAAATTAAATATTTAGAGACTCAATCACCACTGGTAGAAATGATATATAAAATAAGAGGGATTGGATTCATTACCCCTGAGTGACAGCTGTATTACTGTATTGATGGCAGGAGCAGAGACCACCACGGTTTTACCCTTGGTCCACTGTAGGAAACCTAACTCTCTCTTCCTGTTTTAATGACATCACGAGGCGGCCATGTTTTTTTTTTGCTAGTCTAACTAAAGTACTTAACTGCAGGACTACAGACAGCTGCACTGGCACTGAGGCTGACAGTCCCATCGTTTAGTTTCACTGATATATTGTCTAAGGCATTGTTTCCAAAAGACTGGGTCGGGACCCTCAGGTGGGTCGCAAGAGAGGTCTTTTTTTTGGGGGTGGGGTCTGATGTGAATGTCCTTAATGAGTCTAAAATCTGAACAGGAAACAGAGTTAATCCACTGAAGTCTGTCTCACTGATGCTCCTCCTCCGCTCCCTCGTTACTGAGGTCCTGCTTCACCACAAATGTGATGGGAATTCAAAACCTGACAAGGTGGTCAATAAAAAAAGGACTTGGCAGGAAATTGATTGCCAGGAGAAGATGTTTACTTATGTTACAAGTCCATGAAGAAGTTGCCTCATTTTTTATGAGCTTCTATAGAATCAATGCTTCTCTGGAAAACAGCGTCTGCAGTTTGTTTTTGTTTTACTTCTTCTTCTTCTTCTTCCAGGGATTCATCGATATTTACGGTACAGAAGCAGCAGCTTTTTTTTTTTTTTTAAAGAGTGAGACGTGTCTTCGCTGGAGAACTTCAGGGGAGGTGGGAAACCAGGAAATAGAAATTAGGGGCAGGTGTGAGACAACATCTAAACTGAGGTTGGTTTATTTTACACTGGTTGATCTTTTTATAAATACTATAAAAGGGTGAGATCTTGAACCCCCCCCCCCCCCCCCCCCCCCCCCNNGAAGCTCAGGTTCTTCACATTCTCCTACCGCCTCAGTTGGACCGGAATGGTTGTTAGCGTGGATTCAGCGGTGGTATTCATGAGACATAAAGGTGTTCACACTGCAAGTCTGTCTCCAGAAGTGAAGGATGGACAGAATGTGTGTGTGTGTGTGTGTGTGTGTGTGTTTCTGTAAGGCAGTTAAAATCACTCCAGCCTGAGATGAGAATGAAAGTTAATTAAATTTGTGTTACACTATAAAGTGAGTGTGTATGAAACATCTTCTCTAGTGCCACACACTGCACCCATTCACACACCTATGCATGTACTGTACCTCGTGCGAACATAATGCATCAATACAAAGTACGCCCCCTAATGAAAAGGGGGGAAACGCTGCTTGGCTCTCTCCCTGCTTTTGATGTGCAAATCAATCGGCCTCAGTTCAGACTGATGAGATTTGCACCGCTCACTTGAACTGCCTTTCAAAAATAAAATAAAAATAAAATAAAAAAGAAATCAGGCTTTAATTGTCGGGGTCAGACTCTCTGCTCGTGGAGGTCACCACGCCTACTTCTGACCGTGGTCTAACACATGACCTTGACCTCCTAAGACTCATTACTGCCTTCATCCAACTTCCGACTGCACCGTGGTTCTCTCTCTCTCTCTCTCTCTCTCACACACACACACACACACAGATCGGGGCATGTAAACACACAAAGAGCACATAAACATTCCTGAGGCTTAAACTGTGAACGGCCACAGTGAGCAGCTTGAGATGTCAGGCTCTAAATGTCTTCCACCAAACAAAGGGAGTCTCAACCTCAATTGTGCTTCAGGTCTTTAACACAGGCCCAGTGTGGCAGGGTGGAAAATTGCAGCCACTGGCAATAAGGTAAATACACGCACTTTGAGCATGGCACAAACAAAGTAAAAAGAAAGAAAAAAAAAAAAAGAAAAGAAATGAGAGGGAGGGAAGTGAAAGCGGAGGGGGAGGCGACGTGTTATTGTAGCAGAGCGTGCCGGACACATTGTGCAATTTTGTGCTGTCAGATCGTGCAATTTAGCAGATGATAAAAAATAAAAATAAACCCTTTGTCACAGTACAACACATGGAGATGTGGCTGAGATGTCTCTCACAGGGGACACTGTGGAACTTTGGCAGAAATGGAAGTCTCAAGTGAACGACACTGACAGTCACAGTAGCAAAGCCAAACCATGTTCCTGTCTTTACAGAGGCAGTGTTAGCATCTGCTTCCTGACATCATTAGTGGAATAAAAACCTTGCCTCACTTCATAAAAGACTTGTAGATTCTATATATTTATCATATCATACACTTGTCTATTGTATATTATGCAGCTTTTTACTTGGGAAACAAATCAAACACAACTTATTTTTCTTGACTTCAAGTGGTTTCATTCCAACATAGGGTCCAGGCCCAGATGTAAGACCCCCTAACGGTGGTGGTCCCCGTGTCTGAAGTTTCACCCGGGAATGATTACTCATGGGTAGGACACAAAGTGTGTGATGTATTGCTCTCCTTGTCCTTGTTATGAATTTTATTTTGAGAGGCCAAAAAACTAGGACAGTGGAGATGGCTTGTTATCCCAGCAATCTCCTCTTTGATGGGGATGAGGGTGTCAGAGGCAGGAGCCGTGCTGCTGCTGCTGCTGCTGCTGCTGGTGGAGTGTATTCTTGGAGGAGAGGCAGCTTCAAGCATGTGCAGATTTGCCCACAGCCATCTGTCCCCAGGGTCCTCTCTCTCAAACCTGCGTCACTGCCTCACAGGCTACAGTTGGTGACTTTTTTTTTTTTTTTTTTTTTTTTATAAAGGGTAACTTGAGCTGTGGTCACTGTTTGATTCACACTGTGGAGTGTGCAAAGACCAGGCTACACATTTAAATATTTAAAAGGCCAGACAATGATTATATGATAAGTCACATGGGGGAAAAAAAAGTTTTGTTTTTTTTTAGTTTCACTGCCTAACTGGTGAACCACTTCTGCAGCCACGTCTGTCATTTCAGTAAGTACTTCTTATTGTTGTCATGACGACACAGTGATATGTATTAGACATTGGTCACGTGTGTATGGATAATGATAGGAGCTGTCACTCACTCTGTTTGATCAGCCTTTTGTCCGCCACCAGAACGTTCTCCGCGTCAACGACGATAACCTTTCCATCGCGGGGGCCGACTGCAAAGTTATCAAAGCTGACGTCGAGCAGGTAAAGGGCAAACTCAAAGTCATTGTTGGTGAGCTGCTCTGCGATGTCCATTAGCTGCCGTGCCAAGTCCACCCTCTTCTCCCAGGGGGCGTTGTAGAAGCTCCACAGCTCTTCGCCAACATAGTTGACAGCCACCATGCGCCCACATGCTCCCAGGTACTTGGCAAATGGCCACCCTTCATCTGAAGGAAAGCTCTGAGGTGGAAGAAAGGAGAACGGAAAAAAAAATTCACTTTGATTTCTATACATACAGTAAAACATGATGTTCAGCAACAGTTGGCTTGAAATAAATTAGTAAAAAAAAACACAACCCTGTCAGAAACAATGTATCATATTGTTAATATAACGAGAAAAAGGCCGACATCAGAGAGTCGATACGTGTGAACCTGTGTAGTCGTTGTTACACATCCTAACAGAACAGTTGGAAGTTGTATAACAGATTATAGTCAATGAAAAGGCCAGTCTGAGATGAAGGCCTACAGTGAAGAGCTGACGTATGCTGCCAAGCTCAATGTTTTCGAGAAGAGTGACGAAACGGTAAGAAGGAGCTGCTGTTGGCACGAGCACAGATGAAAACGTTAAACTGCCGTACGATGTACGATGCTGGCTAACGGCTCAGTCATGTTCGGAGGAAATTGCTGCATGATGGAGTTAAAACTGATTAAAATGATGCTCCAGCTACTGAAACACTGTGATATCTGTCTAACAATAACTCAGGAACACATGCACATCCACGACCGCAATCACTGTTAGTCTGTCACTTTTTTGAGTGTTAAGTTCTAATTATTCTCACAATGTAAGTGAGAAATTTTAAAAAATATATTTGGAGAGCTGACCTGGTTATTTCTAGAAACGTCAGCCAATCACATGGGACGTTGAATGCTGCTACTTTTTCCACCAACAGCCTCTTCCCAGGAAGGTTTTTAGCCGTCAACGGTGTCCAAATATAAGCTACATACATATGTGCTACATGTTAGTTAAAAACACTTTTTTAGCCGTCAACGGTGTCCAAATATGAGCTACATACGTGCTATATGTTATACAACAGTCAAAACATTCAGACTTTACAGGGATTGTGGGTACACTTCTACTGGGATGCTGCGTTGGACCTAGATTTTTGCAGATCTTCATTATTCTGACTTCCATCTTCTTCCGCGAGCGTCAGATCGCGACATCTCTTCGATCACTTCTCTGCCACAGGCTGACACAATAGGTGGTCAAAATAAATGGCCAATAAAACATTTGACTCTTTTGCGGCCAGTGCTTAGCCCAGGACATTTATAATAAAGCCCACTCCGCCATGGGGCTCTATATCTTTTACAATAAACACCCAACCCATACGTTAGCTTAATGATAACCCACAATGCCTGTGTTACAAATCTCTCTGTAGCTGCCTGTTCTGGCAGCCGGCCAGCGTGGAGAAACCGAGGGAGAATCACAGGCCCTCATGTTTCACAGGAGCCTCGGGAGCCCTTGCTTCCTGAAACCCAATCTTTTAAGAAAAATGGTGGGGATCTCACTGTGCCACTACAGGCAAGGTGTAAACTCCTAATATTATGTTGCATCTTGCTTTACACCTGTGGTAATGCAATATCTCACCAGCCTTCGATTCACGTCAAGGAACTGAGGGGTGATGGGGGGGGCAGGTTTGAAGACGGGGGTGGGTGGAGGCGGTTAACGAAATACAAATTATTTAGGAATGTACATTTTAATTTCCCTCTTCCTGATTCACCCAGAACTGCTGTAACTCACAGACGTGAGTCTGAGCCGCTGCCACACACGGCTCAAGAGGAGGGTGTGACAGGAAAACCACAGCTAAGGAAAGAAAAGGTGACTCTAAGGCAATTTGCAAGTTCATTAATTACACCTTTGACTAGTGTCAGGACATTTTTATCAGAAGCACTTCTCACACTAAGCCGCTCTTGATCTACTTTATTACACTCCATGACAAGGCTATAATTTGCAAAGTGTATTAACGGCCACAGCATATGGATCCCACCTCTGCTACACAATGGAATGGAAATGAGCTGACGGCAATTCTGAGTGAAGACTAAGAATACCGTTCAAGGTGTCTTTGACTGTACAAAAATCCTTAGAACAATGTTGTGTTGGGATGTCAGATCATGATAACAGAGAGGGGGCGCTAAACATGTTTTTGACGGTGTTTCTTAGGGGATAAACAATTTTAAAAAATCTTCTTTTTTTTTTACATCAATTTGAAGAAAACAAAGTCAGGGCGGACCAAGAACAGACCTGAGGACGACAATATCATAAAGGTGACCCAATCAACTGCGAGTTAGACGACAGTCTGTCGACAGTCGACTGCTGCTGTTCCAGCCTGTCTGTCTACAACTGTCACACTGAGCCTTGGCAATGACTCACACCAACTTCCCCAAGAACTACTGGAGGAATATCCTACTTCTGCATTTTACAGTGAAAAAAATATCTTGACAGAGAGGATCCTGAGGAGTAATGCACATCTTTAAAAAAAAAAAATCTGATGAACCAGCAAATACTGAGAAAGAAAAGAAAACCAGTCAAAAATTATTGTGTTCCCAGATACAGAAAAATGGCTTTTAAAAAAAATTCTAGTTGCACGTCTCTGTAAGGGTCACGTCCTTCTGTCCCAGATCCAAACTATGTTTCAAATATAGACCTCTCTTGGTCTGTCCAATGTTACAGCTAAACCCTTTTGGCCAATCAGTGTCCTCCTTCTTCCACACCACGACAGGGAGGATGGATGGATGGATGCAGGGTAGAAATGTGTTGTGTTGTTATTGTAGGGTGTTATTAGAGGTCGAGAAAGTACACAGAATATGGTGGCAGTGACAAACACAAAAGAAAAACAGAGTAACTTTTACTTTTCGCTCCAATGGATAAAAGAAATAAACCTTCCTGCTAAACGCCTCTCTCTCTTTGTTGTCAGGTTGCAGCCTGAATGGGAACAAATGTAGAGCGGCGGCAGTTTGGGGGGTGGGGGGGGTCTGATGGTAGGGAGGGGTACGATGAATGCCTCGCGGCAGCTCTCAGACACTGTCAATGGCTGTTATGAGAATCCCTTCATGTCTGCTCAGACCTCGTCACTGGTTCTCAACATAAATGTCGCTCACACGCAGCACAGACGGGCTTCATTTCACTCTGTCAGTTTCCGGGGTCTGAACAATTTACACCCTGGTGCCATTTTTAGGAGATTTTCTTTGTTCATATGCAAATCGACTCAGGGTAAAAACTAGTCAAAGTGAAGGCAGGCTCTCAGGAGTGACACCTGAGCACTGGATTCAAACTTGCCTTTTACAGAGGTTGATAAATACTCCCCATGTCCGAGCAGTAGTTCTCCCTTAGCACTCTTTAAATGGTAACTCTGCAGAAGTCATTAGCGTTGGCAATGAGGCATGATGGGAAGGTGGCGGGATAAATTGGACGGCCTGACCCAGTATTACAGTCACTACACTATCTCTCAGCAGAGTCGGTGCCGTACGTGTGTTTGTGCCTGGGCTGTAGTCATCTCCCAGAAAGATGGTATGCTTTTGCAAAAAATGCTGAGTGTGCAAATCTGCCAATGAAACATCCCAGTGACTTTTACAGCTTTGAAAGGTCTTACCGCTGCTTGTCCCCGACAATGAGCGGAAACCTTTCATCTTCTGCTAAGCAAAACCTTTGACTTTTAAAACTAGGTGCCAAATGCACTCCCTTTTTATTTTGTTTGAAAAAAAAAATAATGAGCCAGTCTCACGAGGTAAAAGAATGCAAAGGTGAAAAACAAAAAAGTCTCCTCATTAAAGATAACCTCACCATGACTCCTCGACCCAGTCTGACTGATCTAATCTTAAAGGTGGTGCCACAGCAGTAGAGTAGATTTTACTGGACGTTTGTACTCTCCACTCCCCTCCCTGTGATACCACTGACATGGGAGCGTCCTCCTGGGGGAGTCCAACGGAGTGGGCTGGAATGGAACAGGGGCAGAGACAAATGGACAGCCTCTGGAGGAGAGGATGAAACGAATAGTGCGGGAGGCACAAGAACACACCTGCGTCCTGACATCTGCTGACAAAGACATGCCCTTCTAGTCGGCCACTTCAGGGAGTTTGTTTGCATCTCTGTGTGTGTGTGTGTGTGTGTGTTAAATTTCGAAAGAAACTCTTTGTAAGTGTGCATGTGCGTCTATGTGAAACTGGATCTGTGTGCGTGTGAATACATGCAACGTGACCGGGGCTGATAACAACCTCCATTCAGGGACCAAGTAAACATGAGCGGCTCCCAAGATATTGCCTCGGCCAGTCTGCAAAGACCACAGGTCTATCACAGGGTGTATACAAACACAGAGCTATACAAACACAAATGTGATGCAGACACAATGACGTCCTTGTAAATGAGAGTTCCAAAATTACCTTTGGTTTGCATACGCCCGTCCTGGTGAGACTTCTTTTTCAGAATAACAAGAAGAACTCTAAAAATACAACAGTGAAATCAAAGAAAGAAAAAAAAAAAGATGTCCCCAAAGAACTTTGATATTGAGATCAGTATTTCTTGGGGTCAACCTTGCCCCAGTTTTGTGAAAACCTAACCCCTGTTGGCAAGCAGTAGCATTACCACCAGAAAACCAGTTTTCCCTGTTACTGTTTTTAATTCATAACCTACAATGTCACTGTTATTACCCCTTGAAACAAAACCCTTTGTTTTCCCCCGGCCCTGCTCTGTTAGCAGACAGTCTAGGAATAATAAGCAGTTTGTAGCTTTATGGCTCTTGGACAAACTTCCTACTGACTGTGCGATGGCCAGTGCCTTACAACTGCTAAACACAATACGCATGCATATAATTAGAAAACAGCATCAGTCAGCACATTAAGGAAACTCCATCGGGCCTTTATGCATATGTTTAACTGTATGATGGATGGTCAATATCACAATGGATTTACAAGTGTGTGGTTAGAAAAAGCCAATACCCAGACAGGCCTAATGAATTACTTCATTTTCTTTTTTGTATCTGGAGTCCCATGTTGCACTGCTCACAAACAGGTCAGTAATTGCGATCACAGACTACACAGCACAGAGCTGCAGCACGGCCTCACACAGAAAATATGACATGTTTATGTGTGATAGCACCATTAAACCTGGTATTATTTTGTTAAAGGTTCCTTTCTACTTAAACTGTGGCTGCTCTGGGATTGAGCTGTTCAAGTGTTACTTTTCATCAT